CGTTTCTCGAGGACGAAGAGATCTAAGAGAACGAGGGCGATGACGGGGCGGGCCTAAAGTGTGGACAGCGGTTGCTCGCGCTCTGCAACATCTATCATGTCTTGCGTCTGACAATATTTTGGACAGAGTCAAAGCTTTGACGACGACATGGAGGAGTGACTCACGTCGAAAATGAAGTACCTCCGTTCACAGTCGCCACGGCGCACGTAATGAAGGCGCTTCAGCACGTAATGTTCGAGGTGGCGGGCACTGACAGCAGCGGTCAATGATGCGGAAGCCGGGGAGGGTATGAACAGGTTGGCGTCGGCAGCAGCAGAACTACGAGAGCTGCAGGAAAAAAGACTTGGGTCTGGACGTCACGAACGCCCACATCTAGCCCGGCGAGAACCGGAAGAGGTCGGCCAGGCGGCACAACAAGCACGATCGGGTAGTGAAAGCAGTGCGGTGTCTAGTGACGCGGGTAGAGGCAGTCGCCGGAAAGGACGGCATCAAGATGGTGGACCACGACAGGGTAGTGCTCGCTGGTAACGGCGTGTCGTACGGCGCGACCGGCACGCGCATCGCGGTAGAACACGACAATCCACGGAGCGTCGAGCGGGCCGCGCGAGCCCTTCACCGTCAGACAGCAGCAGCAGTGAAAGCAATTCGTCCAGTGATGTCGCTTTACGCGGAGCTGGCATTCACGGTCGCGATGAAGGTGAATCGAGTGACAGTTCCGGTAGCTCGAGCGACAGTTTGGATAGACGACGCCGAGGTCGCGGGAATCGCAGTCACAATCAGTCACGGAGACGTCGCGGTCATCGTGATCGTGGAGGGTATCGGCACGAGCGGCAGCCACGGAAACGGAGTGTAAAAGACCCTGGAGCTGCCAACGCTCACGCTGTCTCCGAAGGTATCGGTGTCGACGTGGATTGATCGCGTCGACCTGGCACTGAAGGGCGCTGTTGATCCTGGACGAGGGCATTGGTCTGACAAGTCGCTCCACTTTATCCTCGATAACAAGCTGATGTTAAATGCAGCGAAGTGGTGGGTGGTCATGAATCGACGATTACCGGAGCACAAAAGAACATGGACTAATCTCAAGAAGGCTCTGCTGTGCCGGTATGGAGAAAAGCTGGGTAAGTCTGCGGCAGAGTGGAGGGTGAGCATGCGGCGGATGATTCCCGGAGAAACACATGCAGATTTTGCTGCCAGTCTGAGAGACGTGGTATGGCGTAATAAGGTCAGCGAGAGAGTACTACTGGCGCAGTTCTACGCTGGCTTGGCAAGACCACTAGAAAGTTGGTCAAGCAGGACCCGAAGCCCCGAACCCTGGAAGAGGTTGTCGATAAGGCCACCGAGATCGATGATCCCATGGACAACGTTGCCCAGGGTGTGATTAACATAGGCAATCTTGGGCGGCAGCTCCTAGCCGCTACGTTATTTCGATGAGAGGCACGACAGGAGCTACTAGCGTGATACCGGGCGTTAGTGGAACAGGTGTGCCTAGTGACGTGACGAGAGGTCTGGAAGAGGGCACGATGGCACAAAGTGAAGTAGAGCAGGTAGCACGGTTTACAAACCCGCAGGGTGTGTACAACACGTTTTGGGGACGTGGGATACGCCCCCGGGGCACATCTGGAATGGGAAGTATTGGTATGAACCACGCAAAACGGCGCGGAAAGCCCTTACTGCTACAACCATGAGCCACGAGCCAAAGCCCAAGAAACCCACTGGGAAAGCAAAGCAGCGGCGGGAGAGACACGAGACCAGCAGCGACGAGTCTGATGCTAGGCCGCCGCAGAAGTGGTTGAAAGCAGCAGTGCGACAGGCGGTGGCGGAAGAAGACAAGAGTGACGAGCAACAAGTCAGCGACCACCGGTCCGCGCCGCGTGGCAATGGGCTGATCGGCGACAACAAGGCCAACCATAGATGTTATCAGTGCGGGCAAAACGGTCATTGGTCGATGCAGTGTCCCATGGAAGCACGGTGTTACGCGTACCATCGACCTGGACACTTCGCCAGGGAGTGCCTAGATACCGAAGCCAATGCACGGAATGATGAACAGCGTTAGGCGCGCAGCAAAAAGCTCCAACCCGCATCGGAAAACGTAAAGCTGGCGTCGTAGAGGGGTTACGGTGTCCGGCCGGAGCAGCAAAGCCCCTGTGCACGGATGGTGATGGAGTCGGAAGAGACAAGCGCGAGCAGATGCGTATGGCCGATATGGTATAATATCCGCAAGATTCCAACCATGCATCGTCCATGAAGAACTTTAGTCAGCCAATCCACCAATTAGATTGCAAGATTAATGTGACTTTATCCAATGATGAAGTCTTAAAAAGTAACCACCAACTCCTACCAATCCGACCATATTTAGTTGGAATTTTTCAGAATATGCTGTACTCCTTACAAATATCCATATAGTAGCATATTCTAAAAAAATCAGGAAGTTTCCAGCCCGAGGTGGCGGTTGGCAGCTGTTTCCTAAAAGACATCATTTTGCAGAGCTGTGACCATGTCTATCGCGTCGCTAGCGCCACCAAACAGTAAGAAGGCCCGGGTGACGGCGACCAACTCGTTTAGCACGTTTCTTTCTTCAGAAAACATCACGCTAGAGCATGTTCAACAGCTTATCGACACTGACAAGACCGGTAGGGTACTTCGAATTGTGCTAGATAAATATGCGTATTCTCTAGCTAGATCGACAGACAAAACTCGATCTACCAATACATGTCTAGCCTATTTCGGAAACGTAAAGAACTGGTTGATAGATAAATACCCACAGCAAGGGGGGACAGTAAAGCCCCAGCTGCAGAAGATCCTGTCTGGGCTTGGTAAGTACTGTACCAATCGCGAGGATGGGGCTTTTGAAAAGAAAGCTCCACCGTGTTCCAAGCAAGATCTAGAAAATATCGCTCGCCTACTTTATACTTCTGATTCTGCTGAGAGTATCTATCCGGATGCAGCTCTGGTTGTGATGCTGTGGTATTTATACGGACGTAGCTCGGACGCAGAGCAACTTGAAAAAAACCAGCTCTCGATTTTACCTGGTAAGATCATTGACTATTTTATTTCTTTATATATTGACAATTACGCTAACTGGAACCTTGCAAAATGTAGGTGGCGTACTCTTCCTACGCTTTAAGCGGATTAAAACAGCTTTGCTACAAGGTGTATCCTTGTTCAAGGACCCGACAAGTTTTTTAACTTGTCCACTATTCGTTTTAGCTGCTGCTCTAACCATACAGAATGCGCCAAGCAAGCGTCTATTTCCTCAGTTTACCAGTACAAGGCATATCGGAGCTAATGCTGGCGATGTAGAAGACCTCAGTCTCGTAGAGCTTCTCGAGGCAGACGACAGCCCCGCATCCTTGCCAGACCTGCAACAGTCGCCAGCTACCAGATCGTTTCCTGGTGCACAAGCGTACGTGAACCGATTACTGGTTCGAGTCAAGAACATTGCAGATCAGAAGCAGGTCAAACTCACACAAGGACTTACCTCCCACTCTTTTCGTCGAGGAGCTGCCATGCACGCCAACGATGGAACTCTTGCAGAAAACTGGATTATAGAGCGGGGCGGTTGGCAGCTTGACCGCGTCAATAAGGCGTTTGGGTACATGTTGGGTACAACGCAGGCAGATCAGCAAGTTGCGCGTGTCCTGAGCGGATGGAAACCAAAAGAAGGCGCACGTCTTCCTTCGTTGCGTATCTTGGAGCCGTCTGTGCTGTTCCGCGCCCAAGCACTGCATGGTCTACTTTTCACGAGCTCCCTGGGCTTTGCAGAGCCTGGCATGAACCTAAACGAAGACGTAGCAGAGGTCTTGTCAGCCACCCTCATCATGCACTACCCCGACATGCTGCTGCTCTCACGCGAAGGAGCACTGGTTGCCCGCTTTCGGGCGGCCATGTCAGCACGAGCCATCGGGGAAGCGAAAGTACTTCCATGGAGCAGCACAATCCGCCGTGCTTTCATGCCACCATCAGCGATAACCAAGCCCAGCGTTAGCGACTCTCACTCTGCTGAGGTGTTAAGCCTCATGAAGCGCCAGTCCGAGCAGATCAGCGTTTTAATCCTGCAAAATCAGCGCCTAGAGGAACGACTGTTAGCTGTAGAGGCGAAATTGAACTCACCGTCGGCTCCAGCCAAAACTGTTGCGGGTTGTGTATCACAGCCTGACCAACAAATTGCCATCCGAGCTGTTCGTCCGAAGAAGAAGGGCTCGCAGTCTCTTGCAGCAGTCTGGTACGAATGGTTTACGGCCGAGCCCCGCGTTTATGCCTCGCGCTCTGTGAAGAAAACGACGCTGTTTGAGCTTAGACACACCGCAGGCTACATGATGCTTTTCTTACCTCATGCATTTTCACTTGATGCTTCGTCTCCTGCATTCAAGAGTGAGGTGGTTGCGCTTGGTGAGAAAGCGCAAGTGAGCACGCGGGACTTCTTGAAGACGAACGAGTCCTCAGCAGCAGCAGCGGGTACGGCACTGAAAGCCCTTCGCAATCTACACAAGGCTGTAAAGCTTGACGCACATATAAGTCAGTTTTACGAGCGTGCTGAGCGTGGTGATGTTGTCGATCCAACACCACCTTCGGCGCTGCCAAAATTCATTCGTAACAACCCCCCCCCCAGCGCTGAACCTGTAGTACACATACTAAAGTCATTTAAGTAACAGCCCCCGAATTCCCTCTTATGCTTTGAAAAGGTATAATTTCTGGCAAAAAAAATAACGCTTTTCGCACTCTACGCACTATTCTTATATCTTAAAAAATCTATCGCAGCAACCTGTTCTGTCCGTCACACTAAATTGTCGTGCCTGTCACGCTTTTCCGGACAAATCATTGGATAAAATGATTTAAATATTTCTACTGGTTGCCGAGCGCAGCGAAGGTGGCTTTAATTGGTTAAAACTAGATTGTGTTGTTGCATCAATAAATTCATGTGTTTTCCCAGTTTACATATGTGGATTTGCACAAGGCTATACATTATCCAAAGGCATCGTTTAAATATTATATACTTTTTTTATAATGCATGTTGCTATTGATATTTGAGTACTAAACGGAGGGCAGGGTGCCTATTCGTACACGTAAAGCATGCGTGTTTTCCGAGGGACATGGTTTTAAGTATACTAAACTCTCTGTTACTCAGTATGGATCTGCGTTGTTTACAACTTGAACTTAAAATGA